AACAGGGAACATTTTTTAAATGGCATAATTTTGCATGCATCTTTCTGATTTTTGGAGATGTATACATCCATTGCTCCAAATAAAAGAGGTATCATACATTATCACAAATTATGTGCCAATAGAGCAATCACAATTTCATCACCGAGATAAATTTTGCAGCATTCTAACATTTGAGTATTTTATATATAAAATTCTGTTATGAAATCAGATATAATTCATATTTACTTTACTCTTTAATAAGTCTTTCTTTGCAATAAACTCGACTTAAAATACAGCAAATCAATGTGTACAGTTTGTGCAACGTGTATGATCTGTCCTCTTAAGAAGCACAACAATTGAAAATGTAAGCATTCACCATGCCAAAAAGAATGCAACTGTAGAAGCAATAAATTAGTCTGAAATAGGGAAAGGGTTCCCAAAATGCCTACAAGTGAGATCCATCTTTTCCAACTAAGAGACTTGGCAATTATATCACCGTTGGAATGGTACTTTGGAGTACCCCAAACAAAACTCACCCAAGGACTGGAGTCTCTTACAGTGGAACCTGATGCCTTCTCAAGGAAGTGGACTAAAATATTAAGAGGTCTTCTCATTTTTTGATGGCCAAATTCCATCCTGTAAGCAGTGCATTAGACGCTAATGACATACGGTTTCTCACTGACAGATTTAACAGCATCAATAAGGCCTTTCTGTCCGTTTCAGCAAATTGATCCTACATGACACTACAAGGGCAGCCTGCACTTAATGACCTCCACCACTGAGGGATCGAAATGAAAAATGATCGGAAGTACAAATAAATCTTTGAAAGTTTCCCTGAAACAGGTGTGCTAAAAATGCTGTTTGAGAGCTCACAAACACAAACCTGATCTTCAAGCATGTCTCACTCTCTGTTCACCCCAGCGTCTCCCCCTTCCTGGATCTTGCACGAAGATAGATGGAATCCCATAAAATGAGATCAAGATAATTTTGTTCTCACATTTATACTGTGCAAACATTGTATTAGAACTCTCTCTTAAAGACAAGAATTCTTCCCCTTTTTTATGCAGGTATCCAAGCTGATAACAAGTATACATAAAGTTTCCTTATCTTCTCTCCAGTCTCAAGTGGAAAAGGACATACAGTAGAGTCATTGGTTATTTTCTTCTCAGAAACACATGGAATAAGTTTAAGTTCAGTAAAAATTAAATGCATGAGGGGATATAAATGCTTTCATAGATACACTGATGAATTCCATTGATCTTGGTACGGCATAAAGACATGAAGTTTAGCAGCCCTGACCCCAAACACCTATCTTTAAATATTTTTAAATGTTAACACTTTTATTGATACATAATGTACACATTATACAATGTAGTAGTTCAAATATATTTTAAAAGTTAACACAATGGATTTTGGATTGTTGTGCTTCTTTCCTTCTTGCACTCATTATAACTAGCTCCCCATTTCTGCCAACCTCCCCTGCCATAACCCCCAGAAATTATTAATCCAGTTCCTATTGTCCTTATAGATTTACCTATCCTGGATTTCAAATAAAGACAAACATAAAAAACAAAAAGCAGAAAAGTAAAACAAAACAAAAACCCAACAAATAACAAAATAAAATAGAGAAAACTCCAAATGGAAAGATAACAGAAAATAGTAAAAAACTAAAACAAATTTTAAATATGTATAAAAAGGAAAACAAATGACAAGATGTTAAATTCTAACCTAATTACATTTGCCTTAGTCTGCTTTCCAATGCACTTTCTCTGATATCAAGCTACTCACGTTCTTGATCAATGGTCAGAGGCGATTCACCAAAGGCTAAATTCAAGTGGAGATGCTAAAAATGAATTTTGAGCTTCCACTGCGCTCCAGAACCTACTGTAAACCAGGTGGTGGGAATTTTTTTAAATAAATTTATTGGGGCTCATACAATTCATCACAATACATAGATCAATTGTGTAAAGCACATCTATTTGTTGCCCTCATTATTCCCAAAATTCGCTTTCCTCTTGGGTTCCTGGAATCAGCTCATTTTCCTTTTTTCCCCTCCCCCTCCCTTC